CGACAATTGCGCCATTATTATTGGAAACGTTAGACGGATTGATTATGCAAATTCAAGTTTTTCACAATTGAAAAAATAGATTTGCTATAGATAATTGTTTTTGTTAGCGAAGATTGAAATGGAGCACTACAATTTGGGTATTTTATATGTTCTTTCCTAGAAATGTTGAATTCTTATTGAATTGTAAACTTACTGAAACATAAATGCATAGTATATATACCAATATAAATACTAATATGAACAAAATATAAAATAATATAATAGTAATGACAAATAAAATATAAAGTAATATGAAAATACATATCGCCCCTTTTTATTGCTTTCAGTAAAACCCGTGGTATATAAATTAATTAAAGTTTCTAAAGAATTTTTTCCATTACAGGCTCGTACATATATTGCATGCAATATTCTATGCCTGAATATTGCATTGCTGAAAATATTTATTTTGTTTGTACATAAAAAGAAATTTCTTCATTTAGTCGAATACATGGACAAACATTTCTGGCACTTTAATTACGCGCCGAACGAGCAGGCGATTTTTATTAGTTGGAAACGCATCTCCACTTACTTCATCTGTGTCTTTACCTTCTTTACTGAAGCCTCGATTATGGGCTACGTAATTAGACCGATTGTGGGTGAGTCAACAAAATGCATCTATGTACAAGCTCCTTACAAAAGGAGTTGAAGATCCATGTTTCCTTTGCATCTGTGAAAAATGATAAAATAATTATTTAAAATTTCTATTTATTCAATTTATTATTCAGTGACGCACATTCTTTTTCAAGGTTGGTCTTAGAAATATACAGTTCCCTTAAAATGTTTATTTGATACATCAAAAAGGTTAGATAAAAACGTAGTACTTCTAAAATGTATTTAATACGATGTTTACTAGTTCTCTTTCTTAAAAAAAAGTATAATTACTGTCATCGTCACTTGTGTCAATACGTTAATAGCCCGGGGTATCTTTTGTAGCGAATATTGGGCAAAATGAGTCGGACAGGATACTTCCATTCACTATGTGGATAAATTTGCCATGGTCTACGACGCCATATTTCGAGATAACGTTCGTGTTACAGGTAATTATTAACATATTTAAATCATGAACGTCAATTAATAATATTAATTTTTCGAAGGCAATCAGGATCTATTTGCTTAAATTATTATTTATTTATTTCAACTTTCTCTAAGATCATTTTCTGATCACTTTCTCGTTTGCAATATCAATGCAACATTAACTGTGACACGTGCATGGAGAAATTAATTTATTTAATAACTTTCTATGCAGGCACTTTTATGAATTTAATAATTGTTGTATGAATATTACAAAATTGTTACTTGTCTGGTACTTACTGGTTAATCTATACAGATTTTAGAAACAAAATACTTGTATCTCATAATACCATTGTTTGTGCCTATTTAGGTTTTATCAGTATACCACGTGGGATTTTGTTACATTTGCTGCGACAATTTCCTGTGCATTATGAATCTACACGTAGCCGCTCAGTTTCGAATATTACAAAGCAGATTGAGAAACATAAACAAATCACGCGACGATGATAAATACCAAAAATTGAATATTTTATCGATAAATTCACCTGAGAAACCTTACGACACATTTAAAAATTATATCCAACAACATCAAGCACTTATTTCGTACTGTCGCGTGCTTGAAGAAATTTTCAAGCCGATTGTACTTGCTCAGGTGCTGACTTTTAGCTTGTTGATTTGCTTCGTGGGATATCAGGCAATATTGGTTAGTGCAATCAAGAATTTCATACGTTATAATCTATCCTTTTATGGATATCACAAAACTTCTCACAAAAAATCGTGATTTGAAACGGATGAAGCAAATTTCGATTAGTAGATCGCGAAATTTTATGCTAATTTAAATCCTTGTACTTAAATTTCAGTAAAATTCTTTGCTAAAGAAAATAATTGTTTTGTACCATTTTAATAATAATTTTAATAATCTGTTATATTATTTATTACACTTAAATATTACATAAATAATCGCTGTCTACTTTTACAACTTTTTCATGTTATCATTACCATTTCTGCTTTGAAATTGAAGAAATTGATGCATTGTTTAACCGGTTTTTAATCCTTTCTATAAACTGAATTATACAGGCAGACATAGCCTTTACGAGACGCGTTATATTCATGAACCTCTTGACATCAAACATGTGTCACCTGTTAATGTTCACGTACAGTTGCGATTGTTTAATACGAGAAAGCACAGCGGTGTCTGGTGCAGTGTACGCAGGACCGTGGATAGAAATGCCAATGGATAAGAACGGGAAAAATTTTCGAAAGGATTTGCAGATCATCTTGATGAGATCGAGACGTCCTTGTTGCCTAACTGCGAACAAATTCTTCGCGGTTTCATTGGAAACGTACACCAGCGTAATTATAATCATTTCATAACTAATTCATAACTGAATAGTGGGTGACCATAAAAGCTTATATTTCTCAATAATTCCGAAAAGTAATGATAAATCTGTTTTGCAGGTACTGAGCACTGCAATGTCATACTTCACCCTATTAAGACAGAACTCTATCAACGTAGAGAATACGTAATATTTTTTAATCTAACGCCGTGATATATTATATGCACAACTTCATATCATTGCTAGACAGTATATTACTATTTGTAAATACTAAGCTAATATGAATTTAAAATAGTTGAAATACTATAAAAAGAATTATTATATTAATATTAAAGTTGTATTTTAGTAATCATATTACTATTGTATTATATTTTAATAATTATATATTATTAAAATCGTTTTATACATGTCTAAAATATATATCGCACACAACACTTCATGTTACTTACGGGCAGATAAGACACAAGAAGTCTAATCTTGGAGCACT